ACTGTAACACAATATTGTGACACAAACTGTAACACAATATTGTGACACAAACTGTAACACAATATTGTGACACAAACTGTAACACAATATTGTGACACAAACTGTACCACAATATTGTGACACAAACTGTAACACAATATTGTGACACAAACTGTAACACAATATTGTGACACAAACTGTAACACAATATTGTCACACAAACTGTAACACAATATTGAGACACAAACTGTAACACAATATTGTGAAATGTCACTGACAGTTTAACAGGGACCCGCTCATTGTGCGAAATTAAAAATACAATCAAACTAAAATTAATGTGAAATAAATTCCAAATTATGTATCGTTGGGATTGTGAGGAGTGCAAATAAGGTAAGTACAAATTCATGCAGTATAGTTAATGTACGGCAGGGATAATAAAAGGTAGAGTCACGCATGAAATATGTACAAAATTCCATACCATACAACCCACCCCAAGCACCATTATATTTAATAGGTAGAAATGACAGAAATAACCTAAGAAGACGAACAATTTAAATGCCAAATACCATTAAAATAAATAAATTTTAAGAATTTTTCTCTAAAAATGTATAAAGGGGAATTATTTTAATAGGCTCTATCGAAGTAGTTTCAAAGGAAAGATACAACACTTTAATTTCCTATCTTTAATAATTGTATAATATTATTTTAACAACGATTTAGATTGACGGAAAAGGAAGCTAAATTGTGTGGTCCTTGAAGCTGTGTGTGGCCCCGCTTAGCTGAATGTGGTCTCTGCAGCTAAGGTTTGCGGCTCCCGAAGTAAAGGCGTGTGATACTAGCCGTTAATTTGTGCGGTCCCGCTAAGCTGTATGTGGTCCTAAGGTGTGTGATCCTCCTTGCTAAGATGTGTGGTCCTCTTGGCTAAAGTATATGGTTCTCGCTGCTAAAGCATGTGGGCATCGCTGCTAAGATGCGTGGTTCCCCTTAGCTAAGGTATAGATCCCGTCCCAAATTAATCATTATCGACGATAAATATTAAAATGCACGTTGCAAGTCAATTAATAATTCTACTAAATTCAAGACAGGTCAATGAAGAAAATTTCCTAATTAGTGATAAATGTCAGAAAAAATAAAATGGAATTTTAAAGTTAATTAATTCTAGGATGAAAGATTGAATAGGAATAAAGATTGGTACATTATTTTTTATAATTGTCAATCTCAGAAATATAAAACTACTTTGAAAACGGATATAAAGGAAGGGAAAGAAAATTAGTTAATAACTGAAATTTGTTTACTGAACGAATAATTTTAGCATGCAATGTTAGGGTAACGAGACGAAACAAAAATTTGAGTCAAGTTCGCCAATTTAAGGTCTGTTATTGTGAAAAATTATCATCCTAGTGCGACGGTATAGTTAAAGTAGGTAGATATTCTACTAGGACAACATATGGGCATAATGGCGAAAAAATCTGAGGTAAATAGTGTATATTATAACGATATTTAAATTATAAAGATATTCAAATAATTACACACTGTAAGAACGGCAGCCTTGCCCAATAAAACAGTTAATTTTATTTCATAATTTTCAGGCATTGAAATTTTCAATGAAAATTTGACTTTAAACTCACCTGATGTGATGCGTGGCGGAGACTCCCTGGCATCTCCGTAGCCAAGATCTCGAGTAGGTGAATCTTGGTTGACGAGCTCGTGGTGGTCACCAAACTGTCCTTGGTTACGTCCAGAACCTCCAGCAGAGCCGTAGAGTATCTGGTTGACGGTGGTAGGTGCAGCTCGAGTTGGTTGAGGAAGGATGATGTTCTCAGACTTCAACGTGTCGGAGTATCCGGGGCCGTGAGATCCACGTTTCAGGCTGCCATAGTCCACGGAGGCGGTCACTTCGCCGTGAGTGGAGTGCGGACGTCGAGGCAGAGTGTGGGATTGTCGGTTGCTGGAATCGAGGAAAGTGCGAGTGTCGTGACCAGGAGTTCTTGCCGGGGATGAAAGTTCAGTAGAGAAGCCTTTTGAACTTGGGCGTTGAACGTTACCTGAATTACGGCGCTCTGGTAAGTTTGAACTTGTAAATGCAGAGCCGCGGACCTCAGAGCAATCTTTGACAGAATCTCCGCGATGCGTTGGACTAACGTCATCCAAAGAGTCCTGTGACATGTGCAACGCGTCGGCTTTCCTGTGACTAGAATGGAGGTTTGAAAGTGATTTATGGAACTCGGGTTGGGATCTCGGGAATTCTTCTCGCATGTTTCTGGAGGGTTGGACGTCGTGATGCGACATGCGTCGGGTATCGCCACGATTGGTCGGGAAGTTGGAATCTCGCTGTATTTCGTTCTTGGTTGGGACGTCGAAAGATAGTTGAGAATATGAACTACCATCAGGAGGATTTCTCTCGAAAGGATATTTAGATCGTTCGCTAGGACTTGCATTGGCAGGATCGGAAGGACTTCTGCCCACACCTAATAGTGAGTGACGTGATGTATCACCGAAAGGTGGGTCAGAAGGAGACCTCGCATGTTTATTCCTCATCGTGACAGAATCTTCGCTGCTGGTGGGGATGTTAGGTAAAACCCGACGTTTGATGATAGGTTGGGGCAGAATAGCGTCCCCTTGTTGAGGGGAATTAGATCGAGATGAGGGCCGCGAGGATGATTTTAGAGGTAAAGGCGACGAATGTCTTGCTAAAGTGGACTCTTCTCTTTTTTGGATTCTTGGTAGACTAGAAGTAGAGTGGCGCTCGGCCAGTCGAAGAGGTAGTGGTGGCTCGAATCCTGTACCTGAACTCAAACTGTTTTGGTTGTCACCAGCTACAGGTGGAGAAGTTTTGCCTTTGGGAGCGCTATATTTTTGAGGAAAAACATCGGTTTTACTAGCCGACAGATTTTCATCGCCATTTAGAGACGAGTTTCCCTCATCCAAACTCAATCGGCGCAGACGAAGAGATTCTGGCAGATTGGATGACCGAGCGTCTCCGGATGGCGTGGAAAACTTGGACGAATTTGTGGGCGGCGGAGGGACCACAAAAATGTTTGGGACTTCGGCCGTGGTGGGACCTGGAAAAATTAAATTAAATTAATAAAAAAGTACAATTAAAAGTAGCGAGTCCATTGTCAGTTCAAAATGAGGTTGAGTGATTTAATTGTAAATATTAAAACTTGAATTGTAATTTATTTGAATTGTAGAATAAAATTTCTTTATTATGATATGTTTATAAATGGACACTTAGATCTCATTGCGAAATAATTATTTCATATCTACAGACGTAAATGATAGATTCATTGAAAACTTTATCCCCGAAGTTTGAAACATTTTCATGCGAGTAAAAACACGGATTCAAGAAAATTTTTGTCGTAGCAATTTACGTTTTAAACCAAATAAGCAAAAACAAAAGAGAAACTCACAAAAGAACGTGACCTCAAGCAGTTATAACATATTCACAACATATTAATGTACAGTTAAATACGGACACACAACGGTAAGTTTATGAACGATCGAAGGCTTCTGTACAAACAAATCTAATTATTTTTTCTTAAGTTTTCGAAATTTTATTATTCAGTTTAACTATTACAAAACATCGTTTACTATTTTGTTGAGCATCCTTTTTCATTTTATCGCGCCGATGCAAAAAGTTGTTACTGAATTCCAAATATGAAGAATTTCTACAATTTTGTTTACGCGGTGATTTTGACTTGTGGAAAAAATCAACAATAAGTAGACGATGAAGAAGCTTGATGTCATAGAACCTACTGTTGACGTTGATTTAAAAATCACCGATAAATTTTGTTTCTGAGTACATGTTGGCTTAGAGAGAAATAGTATAAGGAAATACGTCACAGAAACAATAGCTAATACATCAACAACAGAGACAGCAACAAAAGCGTTGAAGTCACGGCTAGAATTAATGAGCTTTCTTCCTGAGGTACACTTGGTATGAAATACATGAGAGGGATGAAAGTACACTCTATGGAGAGGGGGAGGTGGGTTAAAGGTATTTTTTTGGAGAGGGGGATTGTAAGTACTCTTTATTGAGAGTGGGGGCGGCAAAAGTACTCAAGAAAGGGGGGTTTGAAAATATTCTCAATGGAGTGAAGTGTTGAAAGTGCTCTCTTTGGAAGAGGAGGAACGAAAGCTTGACTGAACTGAGATGAATTGACTGAATTGATTAATTTGAACGTAGATTGGTCAAGTAATGGTTAAGAAAATCATTGATTGCTATCAGGTTGGCTGGTCACAGTCAGGTAAATGACAACCAATAATAATTGGATGTCAAATTGCTTGGCTGTGTAATTGTAAATCAAAAAAATTATTGGCGGATTATTGACGACAAAAACTATCATATCAAATTAGTCAGCAATAATTCGGCTGTGTTTGGTAACAACAAAGGAAGGCCAAGCTTATTTACAGCGCCACAGGTAGAATTAGCAACCCTGCTCTGTCCAGCGGGACTATTGAAACCCATGAGAAGCTAAGGTAGTAGTAAGCAGTTCAGCACACTGCAGCGTAGCACTGCTACCGACATAATACTGCTTCGTGCCACTGCCACTGACAGGAAAGTACAGCGTGGCAGTGCCACTAACCTACCGCTGATGCGCGACACTGCCACTGACAGAACATGGATGCGTAACACTGCCACTGACAGAACATGGATGCGTGCTACTGCCACTGACAGGACAGTACTGCGTGACACTGCCACTGACAGAACACGGATGCGTGCTACTGCGACTGACAGAATAGTACTGCGTGACACTGCCACTGACAGAACACGGATGCGTGCTACTGCCACTGACAGGACAGCGTGGCAGTGCCACTATCCGAACACTGATGCGTAACACTGCCACTGACAGAACATGGATGCATGCCACTGCCACTGACAAGACAGTACAGTGTGGCAGTGCCACTAACCTAACACTGATGCATGCCACTGCCACTGACAGAACATGGATGCGTGCTACTGCCACTGACAGAACACGGATGCGTGCCACTGCCACTGACAGGACAGTACTGCGTGACACTGCCACTGACAGAACACTGATCGATGCGTGATGCTACCCCTGACAGAACACTGACGATGTACTACCGCGGATTGTGCATAATCATCGTCGGAAATTTATACAATGATTTACATTGTCAACGTCTGAATCTGCTGAAAACGACAAAAATTTTGATCTCGTGACGTTCTTTTGGCGAGCGACGACATATGTTTTGCCGAATAGCGATTGCGGTCATCAGAATGATAGTAATAATTTTTTTTCTGAATTATAATAATAATAGCAATCCTAATAAATGATGTCGAAGAATAGTTTATTTATTAATATATTCTACCCAATTATATCAAGAATATCACTAATTAATTGACCATTGATGACACAGACAAAATGGCTTTCAATTAATAACAAAATTTCGAGGATTTATTTACTTACTACTTCAAATTGGTTTTAAATGAAAATAGATGATTTTAAAGATCAAATTGAGGGCGTCCACAGGTCGGGACACAGTCGAGAACTTTACGCTTTTCGTTGTCATTATAATGTTACCGATAAAACCAATTCCAAACATTTAAACAAAGTGCAGATAATGATAAAAGACTCAATTCAGTTCGTAAGAAAATCTCCATAGTAAAATATTTACATAAATTCGAAAAATGTACAAAAATTAAACATAATCAACTCTGATCGTAACGAAATTCAAGAAGTTCTCACTCGCACGCGTGGGCTCTAGAACGTCGCGGAAAAACTCATAGTAAATATAATAACAAAATTGACAGAAATAATAAATTATTATTATTTAATAATATTTAATTATTTAATAAATAATAATAAATAAAACTTGTAACGCAAGTTCACGAATGTCTCACTCGCAGGCGTGGGCTCCAGAGCGCTGCTGGCATCGCTGCCTGACTCCTCGGACGCCTCCGACACTTCTGACACATCTGTGTGTGTGTGACACGGATACCTTCACTATACAGACACGTCTGTGTGCGTGTTGGTAACCATTGTGGTATGAAATAATTTTTCAGATTTGGCACATGAACTATGTATAGCATTAGAAAATAATTTTAGCGCGAGTGACACAAATACGGATACGTTCACTATGCAGACACGTCTATGTGCGCGGGTGAACCATTGTGGGTATGATATAATATTTTCGATTTGACACATAAATCATGTATACCTCTAGAAAATAAAATTTTGGCGCGTGTATAATGACGACACGGATGCGTTCACTATACAGACACGTCTGTGTGTGTGTTGGTAACCATTGTGGGTATGAAATAATATTTAGATTTAAGCACATAAACTATGTATACCTTTAGAAAATAATTTCAGCGTGTATAATGACGCCACGGATACGTTCACTATACAGACACGTCTGTGTGCGTGCTGGTAACCATTGTGGGTATGAAATAATATTTAGATTTAAGCACATAAACTATGTATACCTTTAGAAAATGATTTTAGCGCGTACGACGACGACACGGATATGTTCACTATATACAACCACGTCTGTGTGCGTGTTATAAACCATTGTGGGTATGATATAATATTTTGGATTTAGGAAAATAAACTATGTATAACTTTAGAAAATAATTTTAGCGCGTGTAACGACGACACGGATAAGTTCACTATTCAGATATGTCTGTGTGCGTGTTTTACTATTTTGTGTGTAATAATCTTTTGAATTTAAGCACATCAACTATTTATCGCTTTAGGAAAATGGTAGAATTTGTATCTCCAAAAGAAATTTTCCCGCTGGGTACATGGACCAATATATGGCCACCAATTGCGTGGTGGAACAGCTTATAATCATAGCTTATATATGTATTTAAAATTTAATTATTAAACAGGGCGTTTAAAATATCCCGCAGAGTTTTCTTCATGCGATTCTTAACCTAAAAGCGCAAAATTGTTTAATTCGTTAAAGAAATTTGGCTGAAATAAAAAATATTAACTAGTGCTTCGGTGGAGAAATAATGTCTGTAAATAATCTGTCTTCGGTGAGGCGACGAGTTCGCCTCACGCATTCATCATTTCTTCCTCAGCATAAACATTATGAGCAAAAACCACTAGAATTTTGCTAAATAATAAAAATAAGTAAATAGATAAAATACAAAAACTGACCAGCAAATGAACGTCGGGCTAGAGTGCGTCGGATGAGCTCTGAGGGGGGTAGCAGTTTGGGGGTGAGGAGGTCATCCCCCAGCGGGGGAGCGGTGACGTCACTTGAGGATGGGGGACATCGCTTGGCATATTGGTTCATCCATTCCCCAGTGGCGATCTGCAGTTCTCTGTGATGAGGATGAAGATTAAATTCCAATGAAAACCGGATTCTAATGAATTTAAAAGCATATAACTTTCCAATGAACATAGATTCCTTGTTTCAATTAACCCATTAGAATTATTTCTTTAATCTGAATTTATTATGATAAAAGTTCGTTATGTTCTGTGTTATTTCTATCTTTAATGGAAATTATTTAACTCTAATTTTTTAAGAAAATTTGAAATTGGCTACAAGATTTGTGATTTAAATCAGTGTTGATCTCTGCAAGTTGGACGATATTATTTAGAAGTCTACCCTGAGCATAGTTTTCTATGAATACTCTTGTAGAAAACGAAATGAAAACGACCTTGTACGGAAAACTAAATGAAACGTATTCATAACTTCGGTTGTGAGTTATGTATTTCCGTTGACGACAAAAAATTTCAGACGCTCACATAATATGCATTAAAGAATAAAAATCCCATAAAATATCATAACTTACAAGATTTTGCTTAAAGATTCCCAGACAAATGGCCCTTTTTAGCAACAAAAAAAAAAAAAAAATTCATTGAGATGGATGTTGGCGAAAATAAATATTTGATGCGTTAAAAATGCAGATAGGGCTCAGGTACAGAGTACCTATAGGGCACCGGTATTAGCACGGGCATGGGGCACCAGTATAGAGCACCGGTATATGGCACCGGTATAGAGCACCGGTATATGGCAGCGTGAGCTGTGCTCTCTTGGGGCGCGCGTTCGCGTCCTCTGGAGCCCAGCGCACGCGAGAGAAAGTGGGACCAGCAGAGTGGTGGTGGGTGGTGAGTGGTGATGAGTGGTGGGCGTCGTAATTAAGGGCGGTGAGTGTTGGCAGTGTGAGGGTGGTGAGTGATGGCGGTGGTTGGGTATGAGAGGTGATGATAGGCGGTGTAAGGGAGGTTAGTGGTGGTGAATGGTGATGATAGCGGTGTAAGTGGGATGAGTGGTGGTAGTGGGCGGTGTGAGGGAGGTGAGTGGTGATGATGGACGGTGGTAATGGTAGTTTAGTGGTGAATGAAGCACATGTGGCGGTTTTCTTTAGTTGAGGTTCTAGAAACGAATGCACGTCATGATTACGAACGAACTACAGATCGCGACTTTCAGCTTTCAAAAATTCATTAATTATGAAACTCAGTTACATTAGAAGCACGAAAAACACGAAGTGGAACATAATTTTCCTGTCTCAATAAAATTAAAGTTTCTCTAACGATTGGAGGAAACTAAAGCCTAAATTTCAAATGTACATGTTTTTTCAGAATAATGTTTTACCAAAAGGAAAATCAAGGTACAGAACAATGCGCTGGCCTAGATCGTACTAATCGTGCTGATCGTTAGCAAGAAACGATAACGATCTCGGCAAACGACATCGGATCACAAAAACTGCATTTATCGCCGAAAACTTTTATTGGAAACTTCGGAAATTTGCTCATTGTTAACTTAGGAGAGTCGAACAAGTTTCCAGTGAAGACGATCTTTGAATTTGTACCGTACTTAGATTTACTGTAAAAACTATGATTTTTAACCGACGATCATTGTCTTTACTTTTAACTTATAAAGTAAAGATATTTGGGAAGAAATGAATATATTTGAATAAGAGCTACTTCGGTAAAATGTGCAGATAAATTGATAGGTATTCGTCATGTTATTCATCTGGCAAGCAAATTGTTTGAGCAACCTATATGTATTATAAATATTTAAGATCTTGCAAGTACTTTAAATGCTTACTCACTATGAACAGTTAGTAACTTCATGTATAAATAAAATATATGCTTGAATATTTCGTATTAATTAGCCACTGACTCATGAGCTACTATAGTAGCTTTATCACCACATTAACTAATACCCAATTACGACATCAACTGTAATCAGTAATTAGCACCCCCGCCCCCCTTCCAAGGGGGAAACAAAGAACATGCAAATGTCACCCGCCGGGGGGGGGGGGAAAGGGGGATGTGGGTGACATGTTGCACTCACAGAAATTGATGGAAACTTGTCCAAATAGTGATGCAGTTTTGTAATTATCTGGGTAATTTTGACCCAGTTTTACCCTGACAAAGGACGTATCAGTGCTACAGGCAGGAAGTGTTGGTAATTTTGACCCAGTTTTACCCTGAAAAAGGACGTATCAGTGCTACAGGCAGAAAGTGTGTCACTATTTGTACAGTATGACCCTCTTATTTACGTGAGTGTGGAGGAATATATGTCACCTGGAGAAGGTATCATGCACTTTCAATTTAATATGACGCAAACGAGCATATTTTCAATGCTCTTTATAATATAGAACCATAGTGCGTCAATGGTAGCGAACTATGATGAAATCGAGCAATCACAATCAACAGTCATTATATAGTAATCCGTTTTTATCTTTCGTATCTTTACACGTTCAAACGCGGCAAACATTTGAATGTGTAGTTCCATCTTACACATCAGCGTATAAATATAACACTAGCAGGTTAGCCCGGATTTTGTTTAGGATGAATAATAGTTGAAAATTTAGAAACCCGTTATTTTAAATTCCGTCATCCATGATCATGGTCATTGCGAATCCAGTTGATATTTTTGAAAGTAAAAAGTATTTTGAAACCACCGTAATTGAAGAAAAAAAACGTTAAAACTCCATATTCAGCATAGAGCTCCGTTCTAGTTTTAAATTTAAGGTAAACTAGTATTTTGTATTTTTGTCATGGGATTCCTTCCTGCCTTTAAACATTCTAGACAATATCCCGACACAATAAGTATCCTGAACACGCAGGATAATTATATATGTTTTTGATGCAAAGTCTTCAATCACACACACATTTCAACAAATATTTATCCAATAATATAATCATAATAATAGCATTTTCGATAATGACAGTAATATTTTAATTGGTTTGTTAGATTGCATGCCCTCGCGTCACACTCCTGGTAAAATCTGCTGCGATCTTCGTATCGATAAAAAATATAACTCAGTACTCACTACAGTGAGTGACAGAGTGCGCATTTTCTCGTCGACGAAAACATGAAGTCACGGACGGACGGACAGACGGACATGGCGAGCACAATAGTGTATTTTTTCCATAGATGAGAAAATGCGCTAAGATGCAATGAGTCATGACGTAGCGTATTGCGTATACGCCTTGTACACGCGATACGCAGACGTGTAATTGCGTATTGTTGGCATGAAGATATTGCGTACTAACGCACTGTTAACAGTTAACGGAAATGCACACTGTTAAGGGGAGGGCTTAATATTGAGGCGAGTCGACCTCTTGTTAAGAGTGATCCCATCAGGCGAATAACGCCAAATTAACGTATTTTACAACATAATTTAAACGACAAAACGTTTAATAAACGATATTTTAACGTCATGTGTCTGGTAAGGTGAGACTGTTAGGCCAAGTACAACCTGGAGTGGTTGTGGTGAACACCACCTAATGAAGTTGTGGTGAACATCATTTGATGAAGTAATGGTGAACATCATTTGATGAAGTTGTGGTAACATCATTTGATGAAGTTGTGGTAACATCATTTGATGAAGTTGTGGTGAACATCATTTGATGAAGTGTACAGTAACACCTCGCGTACAGTAACACCTCGCGTACAGTAACACCTCGCGTACAGTAACACCTCGCGTACAGTAACACCTCGCGTACAGTAACGTTTCATTACCAGCGTTTTAATGCGTATCGCTTAAGTCGAGTCACGCACAAAGGCCGGCATCGAAAACTCGTCGGTGCGTATTCGGTGCGCAAGGCCCGGCGTATACACAATACGCATGATGATGCGTATTGGGTTCCAACGGGCGCTGGAAATGTGGGTTCCAACGCGGCGCTGGGAGTGTGGGTTCCAACGGGCGCTGGGAATGTGGGTTCCAACGCGGCGCTGGGAATGTGGGTTCCAACGCGGCGCTGGGAATGTGGGTTCCAACGCGGCGCTGGGAATGTGGGTTCCAACGCGGCGCGTTGGAGAGTCTAGACTCATTTAGCCCAACAAATAAAATCTAATTTTAACATCAGCGCCGTTGAAACGTTAACTTAATCAATGTTTAATTTATTTAATATTTAGCAAAATGCAACGTCAAAAATTAGTAAAAAAATAGTATTCAATAATGTTCAGTTCATTTTTTCCAGATGGATATAATGGACGTTTATTAAGCGGTCAGATGGATACGCCAGCCGGTGAGGTGGATCCGCCAGCTGGTGAGGAGGATACGCCAGCTGGAGCGGTGGACACGCCAGCTGGTGAGGTGGATACGCCAGCTGGTGAGGAGGATACGCCAGCTGGAGCGGTGGATACGCCAGCTGATGCGGTGGATACGCCAGCTGGTGAGGTGGATACGCCAGCTGGTGAGGAGGATACGCCAGCTGGGGAGGTGGATACGCCAGCTGGTGCAGTGGATACGCTGGTAGGCGCGTGTGAATAATGAATTAATTCTGAAGTGAGATTCTCACGGCCTGGGAAAAACTGTTCCAGCTTCTGTAGCTGTCAGCGGCTGTGCAGAGCGTCGAGTGAACGCCGTTTGCGAACGCTGTTTCTGAACGCTGTTTGTGAACGCTGCTCATAAATGCCGTTTGTGAACGCTGTTTGCGAATGCCGTTTGTGAACGCCGTTTGCGAACGCTGTTTCTGAACGTCGTTTGTGAACATCGTTTGTGAACACTGTTTCTGAACGTCGTTTGTGAACACTGTTTGTGAACGCCATTACTGAACGCTGTTTGTGAACGCTGTTTCTGAACGCTGTTTGTGAACGCTGTTTGCGAACGCTGTTTGTGAACGCTGTTTCTGAACGCCATTACTGAACGCTGTTTGCGAACGCTGTTTGTGAACGTCGTTTGCGAACGCCGTTACTGAACGCTGTTTGTGAACGCCGTTTGCGCACGTATTATGTAAATAATCTATTATTATTTATTCCGTTCTATGGATATGTTTTCTCCCGCGTGTTACCGCGGGGGGGGAGGGGGGGTGTCATTCCCCCCCCCTCCTCCCCCCCCGCAGCGCCCGTGCGTGCGATGGTCACGTTCGTCCCCGTGGCCCGTACACGGGCCAGCGATGCTCGACACCCAGGAAAATTAGATCATCAATGTCTAATATTTAAAGACATATAAATGATAATTAGAAAGTCAGCCTTAAGATGTCGAACCAAAAAAAATGTCACGCTTCAGGTAAAGAAATGAGTGAAATTGTGTCCGAATATCGACGTACTTTTTGCCCTCAAATGGGTCACCCGGATCCAGTTTAGCCCGGCAAAAGCAAGTATCAGTGAAGAAAGTGTGTCACTTTTCGTACAATATAATACATTCATTATTTTTAATACTGGTCCGACCATCCTGCTGTGCTATTCCTACGGGGACTGTTGCTGCTGTACTATTCCTACGGGGGCTGTTACTGCTGTGCCATTCCTACGGCGGCTGTTACTGCTGTGCTATTCCTACGGGGGTTGTTGCTGCTGTGCTATTCCTACGGAAGCTGTTACCGCTGTGATATTACAACGGAAGCTGCTGACGCTGTGACATTCCTACGAGGCAGTTTCCATTATGCTATTCCTACGGTAGAAACCGGCGCGCGGTCTGCCGCTGGTCACGTACGACGCGCACGTTTTCTCGAACGCTTCACACGTGGTGAAGAGTTATGCGTGTTATACGTGTTCGTTATACGCTATATGCTAGGCATCTTCGTTATGCGTGTTACAATGTTAGATACGTTGTACATGTTAGGAATATTATTAGAAACATAAATGTTCAATATAGACATACGAACCATGTTAGACATGTTATTAGTGTTACACAGGTTCTTATACACGTACATGCGCTAAATTGCAGACATGTTATATATGTTGTATATTGTACATGGTGACATGTTGTATATGCTGACATGTTGTTCATGCAGACATGTTGTTCAAGCTGACATGTTGTTCATGCTGACATGTTGTTCAAGCTGACATGTTGTTCATGCAGACATGTTGTTCATACCGACATGTTGTTCATGCTGACATGTTGTTCATGCTGACATGTTGTTCATGCTGACATGTTGTTCATACTGACATGTTGTTCATGCTGACATGTTGTTCATGCTGACATGTTGTTCATGCCGACAAGTTGTACCTATATGCTGACATATTGTTCATGCTGACATATTTTTCATGCTGACATGGTACGCAGGTCACACTATGTCAGCTTACCATGTATTGTACATCGTACATCATGTATTGTACATCATACAGTGTACATCATACAGTGTACATCATACAACGTAAATTATACATTCTACATTATACAATGTATCCCATACAATGCACATTAAACATAGTACATCATCATTTGTACATCATACATTATACATTATAAAGGGTAGGAATCATTGTAAAATTGTGTCCAGTTCTTGATCACTTCAAGGGCACGGAAAAAAACAAGTGTCCAAAAATTGACACAAGTGTGGGTGTCTGTGCGTGGGTTCGTACGACCAGCGAGAGCACTTACGAACGCCGTGCGTGTTAATACGAACGAAAATTCTTACAATTTATATCAGCCACCGTACATACATTTTTACCTTAGCGATTTACATATATTTTTTAAAGCGACTTTTATTTATTATATTTTTACGTTAATATTATATTTTATTAACTTTTAATATTTAGGAGGAAAATATGACAAACACCAAATCCTGATTTTCTTCATCCACAAAAATGCCATTCAGCTAAATGTTATTGAAAAACAAGGAAAAAATATAACAATCTCATCAAATCCTCAACTTCTTCATCCATAAAAATACCATTCAGCTAAATGGTATTGAAAAAAATAAGGAAATGTAATGCTTGGAAATAACTGATTTCGTTATACGCATTCTGTACTAAAGCTAATACTGTAAAAATTACATTACTCTTACGTTGTTCGTACAGTACAAATCGTTACTCCTTCGCTCATGCACGTCAAATTTCTGAATCTTCTCGGCCTCTGATCGGCATAAAAATATAATACATCTAAATTTTTTAACCGTAAAAAGTGGAAGCGCTAAGAAACACTTGTTTAAATTGCAATTCAGGTAGGAATAGCATTACAAGAACTAGCCTAGTTCGGTAGCATGGTAGTGGAAGATAACCGTTGTAATGATTCATCACTAAAGAAAAAGCTTGAATTAGAGATTTGTTGGCAACAATATGACCAAATATGCGGGCATGGATAGAGTTGCACGAATAACTTTACACTATTTATAATTTTAATAAAAATTACTTTGAACAATTTAAACGAGTTTGGAGGTGCATGCGCAACACATGGAAGACTTGGACATAAATACAGTACATAGAAGACTTGTACACACAATATATACTGGTAGGAATAGCATTACACGACGTGTAGTTAAGTTAACAACAAAGTTAAGAATCCGGAGACTATTAAGTAGGAGCGAAATCCTATCCAGTGTTATAATTTCTAATAATAGATACACATTGAAGGATAGACCAGAACAAGCGGGGCCAAGAACTGGGACAAAATCTGGGCCTGATTTGAGATAACAGACTGGGCCCCAAGCTGGGACATAGACTGGGACACAGGCTGGGACACAGACTGGGCCACAGACGCCCCTGTAGAGGCGCCCGGTGTCAAGCTTCCGGATGAGACAGACGACACACACAATAAGTGAGTCAAGAAGTGAGTCAAGAAGTGACTCATCAAGAGAGTCAAGACTCATGAGTCAAGAATTGAGTCAAGGAGTGACTCATCAACAGAGTCAAGATTCATGAGTCAAGAAGTGAGTCAAGGAGTGACTCATCAACAGAGTCAAGACTCATGAGTCAAGAAGTGAGTCATGGAGTGAGTCATCAATAGAGTCAAGACTCATGAGTCAAGAAGTGAGTCAAGGAATGACTCATCAACAGAGTCAAGACTCACAAGTCAAGAATTGAAAAAAAAATCCGTGGAAATAACTAATTAAGAAGAGTTTAAGAAATGTTAATAATGACGTGAACAGCTCAATGAATGGGGAATCTAAAAATAACTGACAATTCTCCTGATGAAAGAATTATAGAATAAATAATTAATGAATAAATAAAACAAATTAAAGAATAAATGAATAAATAACTGAGTAAATGAGTTAATCACAGTAAAATAAATGATGAAGAACACATGGCTCAGAGTACCTATGAACTGGGTAACGAGGTGAACAAAGAACTACATGATAGCACGATATGATATACGCATCAGTAATACGCAAAAATGGAAACAGCGAAGCATGCTAGACATGATTAGCTGTAGCATGTAGAATAAATATATTCTACAGTGTAAGCGTACATGATGGAAACAATCTTTACTTCACTCATACATGATGTAAACAATCTATGGTTCGCTGATACATGATGCAAACAATCTTTACTTCGCTCATACATCATGTAAACATTCTATAGTTCGCTCACACATGATGTAAACATTCTATAGTTCGCTCATATATGATGTAAACAATCTAAAGTTCGCTCATACATGATGCAAACAATTTTCAATTAGCTAATACCGTACATGATGTGAACAATTTTCAGTTAGCTCATACATGATGCAAACATTCTATAGTTCGCTCATACATAATGTAAACATTCCTTACTTCGTTCATACATGATGTACACAATCTTTAGTTCGCTTATACATGATGTACCCAATCTTCAGTTTGCTTATACATGATGTAAACAATCTTTATTTCGCTCATACACGATGTAAACAATTTTCAATTAGCTAATACATGATGTAAACAATTTTCAGTTAGCTCATACATGATGGAAAGAAGGCATTGCGCGTATACATGATGTTAACCCTGTTATTCTTACCAGTAAGTTGGGCGCAATAGGCCTGCCTCTAATAAAATAAATCTGAAGGTCGCGCTGTAAAAGAAATTAGAACACACGAAGCTTTCGGTGTGTCCCAATATGGGCTGTGGTGCTCTTCGGACCGCTAATAAAAAACACGTGGTGTGTTTTTTGTGGTATTTTGGTAATTTTTTTGTGTTTTTATTTGTAATTGTTTTGTGTTAATAATGGTTTTTTGTGGTATTTTGGTAATTGTTTTTTTTTTTGTGTTTTTAATCGTAATTGTTTTGTGTTAATAAGTGTTTTTTGTGGTATTTTGGTAGTTGTTGTTTTTCTGTGTGTTTTTAATTGTAATCGTTTTGTGTTAACAATGGTTTTTGTGGTATTTGGGTAATTGTTTTTTAAGTGTTTTTATTTGTAATTGTTTTGTGTTAATATTTTTTTAGTGGTATTTTGGTTATTGTTTTTTGTGTGTTTTTAATTGTAATTGTTTTGTGTTAATAATTTTTGTTTGTGGTATTTGGGTAATTGTTTTTTCTTGTGTTTTTAATTGTAATTGTTTTGTGTTAATAATGGTTTTTTGTGGTATTTTGGTGATAGTTTTTTTGTGTTTTTAATTGTAATTGATTTGTGTTAATAACTTTTGTTTGTGGTATTTGGGTAATTGTTTTTTTTGTGGTTTTATTTGTAATTGTTTTGTGTTAATAATTGTTTTTGTGGTATTTTGGTAATTGTTTTTTGTGTGTTTTTAATTGTAATTGTTTTGTGCTAATAATTTTTGTTTGTGGTATTTGGGTAATTGTTTTTTTTTGTGTTTTTAATTGTAATTGTTTCGTGTTAATAATAATTTTTGTGGTATTTGGGTAATTGCGTCAGCCAATAACAGACAGCTTTTCAAGGTAAACCCACCAATCATAGACGAGATATTGGCCGCTACGTGTACCATAGGCATCTACGTGTACAACTGTACATTGACCGCTAGGTGTACTAGAGCGAGTTTTGATAGCACGGCATCAAAAGTGTCTTTAAAATGCTGCAAGTATACTAGTTTAAGCTAGTCACATTAAAAACACTAAGCGACTGCAATATCAGTGATGAACTTATAGCGATAACAATTATCTGCTTACAGAAACACCAGCGATTGTAGCATTGTTTAGCTTGTATATAACAAGAACCATATGAGGTTAATTAGTTTAACCTGTTTATTTAAGAGATGCTAATCTTCTGAGCATTTATTGGTTCTCGTGTCCGTGTTAATCTGGCATTTACTTATTAATATGTATTAATCATCAGTGCATATAGATTCATTAATCTTTGACGCATAGCTTAGAAATGAACAAAAAGAAGAAAAGTATTCTAATTATTTAACACGGTATTTGCTTTACACTTCATCATTTATTTTTGGCACCATCAGTGCGTTCAAATTTTTTAAATATACATTTTGAATAACATTTAACGAATGTACTACCGACAGCGCCAGCCCTGACATCGTACCATGTTTCAAGGTTCATTCCGTGCAATATACTATTATAAATAAAATTAATTATTTGTATTATATATTGCTAGAAATTATAGCACGGCTAAATTTACTGTATTACAATAACTATAGAAGTGGCGCTTAAATGTCTATGCTGAGCTAAAAAAATTATGGTGTCTTAAAATTATCATGAAATTTTGAAATGTTTATGACATGTTGAGATATTTATGCAATGTTAAAATGTTTATGCTATGTTAAGAAATTATTGCTGAGTCGAGACGTTTACACGACGTTAAGCTGTTTACGGGAGATTAAGTTGTTTATCTTAGCTTCAAATCTTTCTTCCATTACCGCGTAGAGAAGTTGACGCCAGCGCCCTTAATTTTTTTATAAGACTACTAAACTCTAGATCCTTATCATATGACTCATTATTATCTTTAATCTGTAACTCATAATCCGCAGAACAATATCAAAAATTATTCCGATCTTCATTTATTCGTATAAAATTATGCCGAAATGCCAAAAGAAGTTAGGTCAATTATTCATACTTACATAATTACTTATTTATACTTATTATTACTTATATAAATAATATACTTGCATAAATTCTAGCAAAAATTTATGACACAAATATTCTGGACGTTAATGTTACCAGGAAAATTCACTATATTCATTAAAGAGGAACTGAATTTACTCACCAACACCTGAATGAA